TATATATATATATATATATATATATATATATATATATATATATATATATATATATATATATTATCTATACATAATGTTTGTATGTATCAAATTTGTAATTTTACCGGATAGTATGAAATTAAGTTAGCCATTCATTGAAGTGAGTTTCCACTCACCTAACACATCTGACAATATATACCTTGAGTTATTTAAAATTAGAAGGGCATATTTCAGTTGAATGAGGAAACTGCAAATGTTCCATTCAGCTGCAACAGATGGAGTTTTCCCATTATGTGCTGATTTCCAAGGTAGTTTCACCACTCAGTATCAGTAATGTAAACAGCATTAACCCAGCTGGTGTAAGAACATTGAATATTGGCAGACCAGTAACATTTTATACCAACCTTTTTAATGTTCCACTTACAGATAAAACTAAGCAATTACTGCTGAAAAAATTTGACTCTTCGAATTTTTGTAACACTTCTGTAGAAAAGAATATAACACTAATAACACTGATAATGATTTATATATTATATGGCATGAAACAAGTTCAACTAATTAATAAATTCAACATAAAATGTTACATATCACCACAGATCAATGAGAAAAAGGATATAAATCTGAATATTTGAAGTTAAATCATAACTGGTATGTTGTTATTTGAATAGCAAACTACAAAAATATAAATAAAGATGTCAGTTGCTAGGTGAAAATAGCTACTGTTATTTGTAAAATACCACATGTTTATCTAAAAATATATATTACTAGCATAAAAGAAATCACAGAGATCTTTTGACATTTATATATATCCAGTGATTTCCATAAAGCTTAACCTATTCATATTGTTGTGTCTAAGGTTAATCTACTATAAAGAATTTTAGGAAACTTTAAATTTATTTGTGCCACATATATGTAATTCTGAAAGTCAAATTTGTTTTTCTATCACCCAGAGAGTTTTGACTCAGAAGTCTGATTGGACGGAGATAACAGTGGGAGGTGTCCTGCTATGCAAAGCTCAGACCTACTGTTCAATATAAACCACGGCTGCAGATGAAGTTCTCTCATCAACAAGATCACTCAGCAACCATGAGGTCTCTGGTGTTTGTTCTGCTCATTGGAGCTGCTTGTAAGCTTGTTTTTCTCTCTACATCACAGCAGCTATTGGAATGAGTTTTGGAATTCTTGCTTCATCCTTTATGTAATTTTGTGCGTCTTTGTTAGTTGCCTTGGAGGACGACAAGATCGTCGGAGGGTATGAGTGCACTCCCCACTCTCAGCCCCATCAGGTGTCTCTGAACTCAGGCTACCACTTCTGCGGTGGCTCCCTGGTCAACGAGAACTGGGTTGTGTCCGCTGCTCACTGCTACAAGTCGTAAGTCGATAGAGGCTGCTCATGCCCTCATGACGAAGACTCTGAATTGATCAAATTTGCCTTCTTTACTGTGTTGGTCACCATGTTCTGTCTTTAAACTCTTTCCAGCCGTGTTGAAGTGCGTCTGGGAGAGCACCACATCGTTTACAGCGAGGGAACTGAGCAGTTCATCCAGTCCTCCAAAGTCATTCGCCATCCCAACTATGACAGCTGGAATATCGATAACGACATCATGCTGATCAAGCTCAAAAGCCCTGCCACCCTTAACCAGTATGTGCAGCCTGTGGCTCTCCCCAGTAGCTGCGCTCCTGATGGCACCATGTGCAAAGTCTCTGGCTGGGGCAACACCATGAGCTACGGTGAGTCCGATCTAAGATACAGACACTCTGATTTCAAGAATGGTTTACCTCTTCTTTAGAGATTAAAATGATCCTCTGTTTTACACCATTCAGAGGATGATGGTGACAAGCTGCAGTGCTTGGACATCCCCATCCTGTCTTACAGCGACTGTAATAACTCCTACCCTGGAATGATCACTGATGCCATGTTCTGTGCTGGATATCTGGAGGGAGGCAAGGACTCCTGCCAGGTATGGACCAACTCAAATCAACACAAGTCTCAGACAGGAATCCACTGCTGCTTTTCCATTGATGCTGAAAATATAGGCCTAGTATCTTTCCAGTTATTTGACAACTTATTGAAGTCTTGATCTTCTTGTTGCCAGGGTGATTCTGGTGGCCCTGTTGTGTGCAACGGCGAGCTCCAGGGTGTTGTTTCCTGGGGCTATGGATGTGCTGAGAAAAACCATCCCGGTGTTTACACCAAGGTAAAACAAAATTTAAATAGTAAAGCTACATATAAACAACACGTGAAGCTCAATGTATTCATTTCTGTCTAATTTGGGATTCTTGGAATAACATACGTCTCACTGTCTTTATTTTCAGGTCTGCATCTTCAACACTTGGTTGCAGAACACCATGGCCAGCAATTAAACTGGATCCTTCTGTAGCCATCTAACACTGCTGTAGTCCCAACTTCATTCTGAGCACTATGCAGTTTGACACAAAAAAATAAAGTCTAAAACAAAATTTTTCTTCATGCCATGTTGTGCCTTTATTTTCTTACGCAATGCAGTTTTAACAGTGGACTCTAATTTTGTGCATAACATAATAATTAGACAAGTTTTGTTACATTGCTGAAATGCTGTTGGATCAGTGACAAATATCTAATCAATTTGTACGCACATGCTTTTCATGCCTAACAAAAATGTTATAGTTAGATGTTTAATAAAGGGAGAATTATAAGAGTTTCCCAAACTATCAGTAATGTTAATACTAATTTTATAAATTGCAACATTTTAAAATGTATTTTCTAGTCTTGGATATGCACCTACACCATTAAGCTATTTGATAAAGAGATTACGGGGCAATAGCAAATCAACTAAAGCTGCTTGTATGGTCTTCCTTCAAAGAGCCACCTTTGCTCAAAGTGCCCTGTCCATGAGAGAATCTCCACTTTGCATCTCACTTCCTGTTGATTTAAAGTCTGCAACCAGTTTTAGTATGTTTAAAAAACAAACAAAACTTTGTTTATGTCAAAAACAGATTTTTTTTTTTCTTTTTTGGTTTTACTTTTGTGTTAATTTAAATTACTATACCTTTAATCATAAGAGGTAGTTTTTAAAAGTCCATCGAGGGACAAATGCTGCAAATTAGGCATTCCTAATGCGCTATGACGGAAACATGGGACTGCTGTTTTGTTCAGTTTGTCTACATTGATGTATGTTTGTCCCTATTTAATAAACTTAAATTGAAATGAAATTAATGAATGCTTACAACTTTTCACAAAGCTGAAGTGAAGACCATGCTCATATAGGTTAATTCATTCAATTCAGTTTAAAGCGGCAATTAACAACCAGTGGTGGTAGAATACCCAGAAATTGTACTTAAGGAAGAATAGCTTTTAATTTTTTTTCATCAAGTAAAAGTAAAGAGTAGTCATCCAACGAAGTACTCAAGTAAAAGTAAAG